ACAGCAAAAAAACATTGACTATGCATTGCGACTTCTTTTTTTTAAGTATATTTTTATTTTGTTCTTTCCTTCGATCTAAGTGGTGGGGCTTATCGTAAACTCATTTAGTCATTGGCTTATTAGCATCAAGCTCTGCCCCCAAGTCAAAGAAAAATTTCAAAATTTCTTTTGAACATTGAAGTCTCGATGCAATAGTTTCTATTATCAGGGAAATATTGCAGGCATGTACAGATGTAGCAAGCAAGAACGTAGCACATTTAAATTCCTAGCATGATATGGTTTTATGGTAAATTGTGAGCCTATCCCCCACATTTCAGTGCCTCTCATTTATACATTGTACCATACCAGTGAAGAATTTTTAAATGATTACATATACACAAATTTTGATTACAGAAATCAACCCATAAAAGAAATGGAACATCCATAAATGCAATATAACTGTATATTAATCTTATGATTATTTTATCATCTGTTATAATAATTTACCGGCGATCTAACTAACCTGATTAGTCAAGTACAGAATCTTGGTCAAAATGTGAATGCATTTCCTGACATTGATCGGTGTTTCATTGAAAACACGGCACTATAAAGACAAAAAACATAGTCTTAATATAAACTCTAAGTTTGTAAAAACTGATCAAAGACGTGCAATTGCCACAAACCTCTTGTAACACAACTCCTTTGTCGATGTTCTGGAAGGGGTTCACAAGAGCTAGAACAGAATTGTCAGATGTAAGTCTTACTTTAGCGATGAATTTGACTATAAAATCGACCTTAAATTAAAGTGAAATTAAAAATCAATAAACTCACATTCTTCCTCATCTTTTTTATCGCGTCTGAGATACTGCATCTTGCTTTAAATCACCAATTTTTTAAGGTTTTCGTGAAAGTATGATGAATTTGTAATGGCGACGTGGCAGAGACGGCCTCGTTTTAGTGTGCTGCCTTGTTGGAAGACTGGGAATGAATGGCACAGGGATCCCAATTTTTAGTGAGCCCCAAAAACAAGGTCATTTTCATTTTTTTTTTCTTTTTTTTTTTCCTCCTTGTTTTCCCTTTCCTTAATAGTCTTGAAAATCAAGAGACCATTAACAATATTGTAATATGAATTTTCTTTTAATATTTCTCAATAATATTTCATTACTATCAAACTAAACAATATTTTTAGCCATAATTCTGAATGCAATTCACACCCTTTGCTTTCAACAATCGGCGTTTTCATTTCATGATCAGTGGAGCTTTGGGTTTGCTGTGTACTCGATGCCCGATAACTTGGAAAGGTCCTGGGATCCATAGGAAATCTCGACGTCATTTCATCGGGCGTGGTCGGATCCCCRTCAACTGGCGTTAAATGCCCCAAATTACATCGATTGTTGTCACAGCAATTGAATGAACAATTCACAACAACATTTGAGTCATCGCCGCAGTAGATTGTTCGTAAGAAATCACAGTGTTCCATGGCAATAGTACAGCCTTTTTCCTCTTTATAACGAATCCCAAATATTGGCATATTGTACGTTATATTGTGGGAAAAACAAGCGTTGTAGGCCTTGCCATCAGGGCTTGAACCACAGGTCTGTAACGTGTAGTTATCTGCGCATCTTGCTTCTGTTAATTCGCTTCCTTTGCAGTGATAACATTCAATGCAGAACACTGAAAAATATGAACACAAATGTCAGTCAGTCAATTAACATTTAGGTCATAATCTTTGCATTTCTTGAGGGGCAGTAAACGATTTGAGTTTGTAAGCCGATTCTTAATCAAAACTGTGGTAACCACAGTCAGTTATATTCAAGTTAAAATTTTACTAATCGTACAACGTGTGGCAGATCACTGACTCTTGAGGTTATAAAACACTTGTTGGAGTATAAATTTCATTCATAAAAGATCGTCAGTTTATCCTATGCCAGATGTCTATGGCAACAATTACGAATTCCACCATAAGACTCAGGCGTTGAGAGATCAAAATCAATAATTCCGTGATAGCGTTCCAGTAAAAATCTAGTCATAACAACGAAAATATACAGCATTTGTGATGGTATAACTATAAAATTTTATATTCCGTTTTGCTGCGATTCATGGTTAAACTTTGCCGGGGCGGCACGTGTTGCCACGCCCTTGTGAATGCTAAAATCAAAGAACTCAAATTATGTTTGGCGCATCAGGTTCTTTTGATCACAAATCGCTTTATGTTCTTAATTATTTTATTTGTATAAAAACGACTTGTCAACCGCTGTTATCAAGTTATGAAAGAGAACATTTTACCATGAAAACCGCAACACACAGCGCCTCTTYAAATTCAATGTGCTTCAAGAAAATGAAAATAAGCAACGATGCAAGAYAACAARGAGCTGGTAAGSGCAAAGGAGGAATTTGAAATCAGACATTTTTAATTTATATGCATCGGTAATTGACTTATATCAGAGACATCAACTTCACGATAAAACAGTTTATATCACAGTACTAAGAAGTAGCTGGAAAARCACAATTTGTAAGAAACACCGCAACTGATAAAATTTAACTCTAAAAGCCTTATAATGTTTTGTTATTTGGAAACCTCTAACCAAGAAGCAGAGCTGATCGATCGGATAAACAAAAATGTACATGGCAACAAAAACACTATCACACAGTTTGGAAAATGGTTGATACTTATCTCAATAATTTGGTTCTATACATAACACAGGCCGTAAAACTGAGTGAACAAGCGGCCAGTATAACTAGTTTATATATACATGATAATTACGTCATAATCGTTAACGAGGTCTTTCCATTGAAACAACAATGCAAATTATTTTTGACAGATTGTTGAGATATGGGTTTATGATGTTTTTAATTATTCTTAGTGTATTTCTTCGATTCTTTGATCTTTTTTATGTGTATATTTAGTAAAATGCAGTGCAGGTTTAAGTAATTAAGACCAGGATTTAGAACATAACTGAATTTGAAGGATARAATTACCGTATATTGTTTTCAAAATTAATTGTTTAATACACAAAGATATAATCGGAAATGAAATAAGATGTGAAAATGCCAAGCTCTTTACATCCGTTAATGCAAAGTTTCGTTTTTTAATTTGTTTTGGTTAATCWTATTCTGAAAAACAAGTACACAAAAATGAGTCTCATGTTGACATTAGRTTCATACACTTACTTTCAGCTTGAGTGAAAATGTGATATGAACGTTCATGCGTGGATTATAAGCTCAATGCCGTTTACCAAAATGAACTCACATATGCCATAGGTTACGTCAAAATCTTAGCATTATATATAGAAAAGAAAAGGTTCAACAATTGACGTCGCTAGTTTTGGCTTTCTGAAACTATCTTTCCTGCACGTAGCGTTSTCAAAGCGCGTTTCACGATTCCGTCTTCGTATATTGTCACTATATTTTATAATTTCAGCTATGAATATATTTACAGAGTACGTAATAACTTGAATTATATCGTATGCAGCAAATTTAWCACGTATATAATTATACAATATTTTTTCGTGTAGAAGTGATACCAGCTCTGTTAAAAGTATACATTCACTTCATAAACCTACCTGCTTTGGCAGCTATGTTCAGAATCACAATAGCGGAGGCAATCTTGCTTGCGTGCAAAATAAGCTTCATTTGTACGCACACAGAGATGGAGATACAACCCAAAAAGATAAGGTCGCACAAGAATACACCAAGCTCACATGGCACTCTTGTGAAAAAGTCGACGTGTGAAGAGCGCGCRCGAACTCGTTCTCGTCGATGAAAACGTTTCTGACGTAATTGTGTTAATCCCTATCACCGGTAACAATCAGTCGGTAATCAAACGGGTATTACCGCAACTGTCAGGTCATAATTAAACGTAATTCAGAGTAAAAACTYGACGCTCTTAGAGCGTTTACTCGGGCAACATCACAGGTCACGTCACACTCTGTAATTAATAGGATTCGTTCACACAACAGCGTAGCCTATGTTATTTTCCCGTGGCATAGCCAAGAAAACGCAAAAWGGAGATTATGCAAAATTATGAAAATTATGCATTAACCATCATGCTTTACTCTATTAAATGGCGTCGCTACACATTGCGCGGTCCATATGTATTGTCTATAACCCCTTAAGGTTTGAAATATCCTACGAGGTGCAAGACAAAAACTGTGAGATGTTWGTAAACTTAGTTCTTTCTTTATTGTTTACATTATTACAGTAACTAACAGGGTAAAAGAGGTGTTCTGATTTTATCCATTTTTAGTGATATCTTCAAGTTTTTCAACCATTTCCTTACAGAAGAAGCATTCCTTGTGGTTCATAAGATGGCGAGTTATACACGATCTGTCGAGTAATCAAATTTGAACGTTAATGGGAAGGCAGACAATGGATTAAAGAAAGCAATAAAAACAAGAAAAAATAGCCAAATATGTAAGACCTAATACACCTTATAGAGACATTTTTTGCTCGCTTTTCTCACTTAAGAGGAAAGTGTAATTACAACAATACCGAAGGAAAGCAACTGACAAGGCCACAGTCGTCATTTCCTCTCTTGTTCATTTTCGGAAGGCATGAAGGGAAGGAAGATTTTCGCATCTACAAGACGACTGGGAACGATTCAGTTGCTCCTCCCATTAAAACTCACTTGCAAGAAACATGTTGACAAGGAACAAATCTGACAGATATCTTCATGGCRTAGCAGATAGGACAAACTTCGTCAACGTCTACAGACTCTTGCTTTTCAAGACGCACTTTCGTACTTTGCTGCTCAAGATAGCTCACGAGATCCTGWACTTCTTTGACTTCGTCTGCGCTGACATCTTTGTTGAGCACTGAAAATGGAATTACTCTTGATTAGAGACTGAGCGAGCAATTCTTTGAATTAAACGCTAAAAAGAGGTTGTCGTTCTCCACTCAGTTAAATAAAACTTAGTAAATTAGCCTCAAGCGGTCTCTAGGGGAGGAGGAACGGTCTCCCGTCCCCTCCCTACACCTCCTCTTTTCCTGGAGCCGGTTGAGCGGTTTGTAGTGGAATAAAGTGCAAAAAAATACAAAAGCACTCGCCGCCTTAGGCAACTCCGTGTTTTTTACTTTTATTTAAGTGAAAGACAACACTGCTATGAGAACAGCTCTACTTGAAAATAAAACATTTCTCGACGACATCATATGATTGCAACAAAAGCGCACTTATCGTATACAACAGTTGTAAAGGAATTGAAAAGGTCTAGTAAAGACGAAACTAGTTTTCCTCAACCGAATCTTGTGTTTTCTGTGTGTCAAAGGAGGGATAAAAGTATTTTGACATCTTACGAAAAGTCTGTCAGATATTTTTTTTTCTGGAGATCAGAAAAGCAACTTAAACCACAAAATAAAGTACAGAAAGTATTCTGGAAATTCTAGTATGTCGCCATCAATATCCCATTAAACCTCGACTTCAGCATCGTAAATCTTTTAAGCAAAAATAGCTGGTTTACTTACGTCTAATAAATGAAAACTGCTGTAATGTCACAGCTTTTCCAGGAATGGATGACTTCCCGCCAATAAGRAACTCTACAGACTCAAGAGTGAAGCCTGGGTCGGCTAATAACGCTGAAGTACTGCGCTCCTTACTTTGAACACAAAAAATCGACAAAGTGCAGTGTCAGTGAACAGTAATGTCTGGACTCGAACCCATGACACCAGGTTGCAAGACACCTACCTTTCATTGGTACCGTGCATAAGTAGAGTTATAAGTATCCCAGCAACRGCACCGAGTACAGGAAACCTGTCTACAGTCTCGAGCCCTGGTAAGTGAAGTCTTGTAACRTTATCAAACAGATTAGAGCAGGCAGTGATGCGATTAAGAACTTGAGTTAGAAGCTATGAAAGAAGGACAACCAACTGGCATTAGCAAGCTATCGTGATGAAGTTTTAATTCAGTTTTACTGGCATACCTGGAAAAGTCTTGCTATATGTAGTTCAGACGACTGCATTTTCCAGTCAGTAAATACTTGTGGAACAGCGGTGGACACCATTTCCAGAACCTGATACACACACACACGAACACTTTTGTCTCAAGGAATTTKTTTCTTGCTTTGCGGTGAATATTTTCGGTTTAAAATGATAGCTATGGAGCTATATCAAGATAATTTGGCAAATCCTGCCTTGGATTCATCCCGCATCAATACCACCAAAAACAATAGACTTCTGAATCTTTTACGTCACTACTTGATTTGCAATGCATTGTGGGATCAGTTTCAAGAGAAGACAAGAAATTCGCCATGTTCTGTCCCTAACATATCCTACAATGCATTGCGTATACGGTACATGACGTAAAAGCGTCAGAGGTCTATTCCAAAACAATCCCATGTTTTGCGTTGAGATAACGCGGCCGATGCATTTTCCACCATCATCACGATCATTCAATCCCAATATATTGGTACAGTTCTACAATTATATTATTATTTTGCAGTGATCATTGACTTACCCTCAGAAGACCAACAGTCAGATCAAAACACACAGCACAGGTTCGCAACTGTCTCTTTTCCACGCTGATTTCAAGTCGATTAGTTGCTTGTTGGATCTAAAGATTATACATCGACATTACAATCAATATTATAAAACTTATTAATAATGCATAAGCTATTGCTCCAATAAGGGCTGACCATTTAATCAGGTGATTGACCTTGTAAATCTGATACAACCACTAGTGGTTGTATCAGATTTACAACACGGTCGTCACCATTGAGACAACCCAACACTAGCAAAGGTCTCAGTTTTAGTGTCGCATCATAGACCTTCACTAGGTTTTGAAGCAATCAAAGACGGATAACAGAACTCGCTTATGCAACAGATGGCTTGCTTTCCATGTGGGATGGATAATTATTCAAAATGTTCTGTGTTGCAGTAAATTGCGCATGCTTAATAGGGACTAAACTCAGCAGTTACCTTATTTGTCATTTTTCGTCATTTATCTCACTGTAATTCATGTTAATTTGTGTTGGAGTTTTATAAGTCGTTTACAACATTCGCGTCCGTGTTGTATGGGAATTACAATCTCTCGCCTGCGGCTCGAGATTGTAATTCCCATACAACACGGCCGCTCATGTTGTAAACTATACTTAACGTGTCGACTTATTGACTTTCAATATTAAAATAAGATTGAAACGCCTGCAAAATGTTTCTAGATGAACTGTTTCGAAGTTGTCAGCAATAAATTGTAGCCTTCTCTGGTCGTTTGAGTTTAAGGAATTAAGACTCGTATTGATTTGCGCATGCTCTAACATGATTTCTGTGTCCATCCCACATGCCTTAGTGTACATAATAATCTGATAATAAAAGCGACTAACATAGAAAGCAATAAGTGTTCTTGAAAAGCTCTCACCTCTTGCAACATTTCAATGAATTCAGAGAAGGCCCAATTCAGTTGGTTTAAGACCCCATTAAGAAATTCATCCGCAAGTTTCACATCAGACAAACAAAGCTTGGCAATGACTCCTTGTAGGACTTCCGAAGGACATGGAGCTAGGAGAAAGACAAAATATTCCCAGTTTACTTATTTACGTCTACCATTCATCCATATGTGATCTGTCAGTTTGTTTGTGCGTTTGTTYTTCCATTCATAAGAGTAGCAGTCTCTTTCACAGCTGTTCCTATTAACAAAGGAGAGGTGACTTGTTCTATTCTGAAACTGCATACTTACGCTGAAGACTCGCTCTTAAGTGACCTGCAAATCAAATGAACAAAAGTCACAAATCGTTCAATGAATGGATATTACGTGGTACAGTAGAATCTACACTACAATTTTACAAAAATACAACATTTTGAACTATTTTCTTTCATGAGGTCCATGGTCACTCTCACTGATAAATGTAAGAGTTGAACACAGAAGTAATCAAGCGTTAGACTATCTTGAAGTCAAAAAGTTGAGTTCAGTGAGTACATGTACTTGTTGTATCAGTATTACCTTGTTCAGGAAAAGCTGATGTGTAAATGTCCTGTGARCTTGTATATCTGAATGCAAATCCACAACCCTTCAAATAAAGTACAAGATTAACCATGATGCAAAGCAGGCGCATAGCGTGGAYGTTTTGGCTAGTACGCACAWRYCAGAGACCGCAACACATATTTTGKATCTGGGGGTCTAACAACCGCCAAAGGCGGGAGTRTTAATGGAGTCTGGAYCYCCCCCAGGAAAATTTGAAATAATAACTCTTGGAAATGCGATTTCTAGCATTTTGAGGGACAWCGAAGGCATATAAAAGTAATCAATTTTATGTGAATTTGTCAGTAATTTTTTTTTTGAAAATTTTAATATTTCCTTGTCACTAGTACGCACGTGCGTATATGCGTAAAGGACGCTACGCGCCTGCAGAGTGAAGGGAAAAGGACCTGTGAATRTGTTTGTGRTTTTCCTTAAACCTGTGAAATAGTGACACTAGTACCAGTGTGGGGGAGGGGAGGGGGTTACTAGTGTGATAATATTTCATAGATATAGTATGTAGGTTCTATATAATAGAGGCAATATTGTCTACAATCTACCTTCCATATCCGAACAAGTATCCATGTTGTTTGGACCCATGAACGCTTGTCATACGCACCCATCAGTGAACGTACAAAATTATCCAACCTAGAAGGACGAATACATATAGCGCAGTTATGAATAAATAAATGAGAATGAAAAAAGGAGACAAGATGGATGAATGAGAAATAAGATGAATGAAGGAACGGACAAAACGCAATGATATAAGAGGGGGAAAATGGATATATGAATGAATGATGAATTAGAAATAAGGTGAATGAAGGAATGGATGAATGCAATGATGTAAGAGGGAAAAATGAATGGATGAATGAATGAAACAAGGGAGGAAATAATAAAAATGGGATTAATGAATAAAAGAAAATAATAAATGAACAATAGTTACTTACAAGTCACTTTGCATTCTTTCAATTGTCTTCAGACTGTCTGGATAACATACAAAGGCTGCCAATGCTTGAATGATGATATCTCTCAAATCTGTTGAATTAAATAGACATTCTAAATGACAGCAATTTTGAATTTCTAGTTGTCTGATAATGACAGCCTGACCTGGATTGATAATTCTTTTGTCTGTGAAATGAGTGCACAAGAGTTCTGCCATGCTGTCAAGAGTACTGTCTGCATCTGGATAAAATCAATCCCTCAATCCATCAATTTATCATTGATCAATCAATCGATCAAGTAATCAATCAATCAATCAATCAANCATTATTTCTTACTATTTTCAATAAAATGCTTTATGTACCTTTGAGAGTTGTTTGTGCACAGCAATGTGGTACAGAGTGATGACATCATCAAGCATTCTGACCAATGAGGAATCTTGCTGCCAGTCCTGCTCGGCCAAAGTATCTCCACCAAATGCTGCTGACTTTTGTTTGTTAAGCTCCTCCTTCACAATTGCTGAAAATTTAAACAAAAATCATTAAAATTACTTCCCTGAATCTTTGGTTAATCATGAGCCATATTACAATTATGATTTTTCAAGTTCCTAGTTCCATCTTACAAGGCAGCATTGTCGTTTCCTTGATGCAAGACAATGAGCTTTAAGTGATAAACAGCTTTATACTCCAATTCGAGTTCTGGTTTGCTCTGTGTTAGCCTCAAAACCAAGTAACATATTCTTTTGTTTTATTGATAGCCTGTGAAAACGCATGGAATTTGAAAAGATAGACAATAGAATTGATATGAAATCTCACCCTTTTATTCTCACAAGTTACGAATATTTTGCGCACAAATGAGGCTAACACAGAGCATTGGAGAATTTGAAACTGGATTATTTCACACCTGGACAATGGTTGGTATTTTTTATTGCAAGCTCAAACACCATTTTAGTTCAATGTAAATTACTTACTATCATATGACTTTCTGAGATGAGAAATCACTCCACCCAACCTACAACAACCAACCAAAACAAATTTGTGAAATGCTAAATACTACTTATGCACCAAGATGTGCCATTTGACACAACCAAATACCACCAGTCCCACATCATTAGTTCAGGATAAGTCAGATMAAAGTAAATGAATAACTGACTAGATCCAAACTACCTTAAATTTGTAGATTAAATACTATGAATTATTCTGGATAATTTATCAAATGATATATCACAAGCAGTTTACAAACAGGAGTGATTGATTAGCATGTCTAAGAGTGCCTTTAAAATACTGTATTTTGAACATGAAGTACCTTGACATATCCCAGTACTGAACACTATCATCAAAGAACGTGTGGAGAGGGACATAGGCATCTGTAAACAAAATAAAATTCAGATAATTATACACTAAACTCAAATATAAGTATCTTTACCGTTGATCATCGTTATCATCACTTTACATAAGTGTTTTTATTCTGTTGGTTCTCCAATCCACTACACTTCACTTTAAGATTACCATTATAATACTTTGCAAAATGCGAGAAAAAACTCAAGTTTTACATTTGGCTTTTAAATTGTTGTGCATATTATCACTAATATGATAAGAACCCCGGGTAGCCCAAATACAGCTGATGTACTTACCATTGCTGGCCCTGTAAGTACCATTGCCTGTGTTATCCCAGTGATATCGGATAGCCTGGATTAGTCTATGGTAGAAACAGGTAATGACTGGACCTCCGCATGCAGTTGATGGCTGCAACTACAAAAAAATATTATCATATATAATTATACACTTTCAACACTGCATTTCAATTGTTTTAATATGTAACATTTTGT